TTGGTTCTGATGATGACACATCTGAAAAACTTGAGACAGGCATTTGTTCTGATAGTTTTCACAGTTATCATATTTTTTGAGCAAGATATTTTAGCTCTTTTTCATTGCACATATTTATTTTCCCAACTGTTGTCATTTGTCAAACAGAAGCTTTACCAAGTGTCTTAGGATTGTAATGGCTAACACTTTAAAAAATGAATTTGGTTTTATAAGTCAAGCTGACACAACAAAATTTCTCAGATAAATTAATTCCCCAGCTTTGCTGTTTCCAGAATGACTTGTACTCTAAATTATTTAGTTCTTTCTGTCAATCTCCTTTGGGATGCTACTGGAAAAGCAGAGGGATCCTGGTCCAGTTCTTTTCTTTCAGAGAAGGACTCATGTAACTTTGTCCAGACAAACGAACATGAAGCAAATTTAAAATATTGTTGTGTAACTAGTTCAAAATCTGAAACTTTAAATTTTTCCTTCTTAGTGTGTATTTTTTAAATGCCTTTCCGTATTTCTGTAGAAAGCATTATTCATGTTTTATATCCAGAATACCTGGGTTCCAATCCTGTGTTTGTCATCTGTTGGTTGCTTATCTCCAAGCTAGGGATACCAGAAATGCTTACCAGAAGATTTTAGGTGTTAAGGTAACAGCCAACCAATCCTGACAAAGGTTATTGTTTTTTTTTTTCAATACCAGGGATTGAACTCTGGATCTCATGCTTACCAAGCAAATCCCCATCCCTGGTTATGTTATTAAATATCAATACTCATTATTTTGACAGTCACAAAATATATGTGTATTAAACAGATGTTATCTTAGAAATGTATTTGATTTATATGATACCCCTTGTATCAGTTCAGGGCTTATTACACCTGATGAACACAAAGAACCAGGAATCTTCTAGGCAAGCCACAGAATCTTTCGCTGTTGGCACAGAAAGGCAGCTTTTGAAGAAGTATGGCATAGCTTGTGGAGGCTACAAAGGCCCATGCTTAGAGCCTCCCAAGGCCCAGATGCAAAACCAGTCCGTAGGGATGTGGTGACCCTTGCTGTTGGCACTGAAACACCTCAGCATTCTTGCTGGCTGCTACTGCAGTCTCTGTTACCACTGCCTCTAGAAGCTGTGTGTGGTAGCTCCTGCACCTTGCATGTCCTCTGAGTAAATGTGTGCAATTCTGTTTCTCTGCATCAACTGCTGAGACCAGCATTTCATCAGCAGCTCCCAAGGCCGGGTGCTGGCCCCACTACAGGGAATGCAGAATAGGAAGGCACTGGGTGTTATCTACTGTATTAGTTTGCTAGAGCTGCTGTGACCAAGTACGCAAATTAGCTTTGAAAAAAGGCATTTTTAAAAATTCTCTTTTGGGCAGATACTTGGGAAGATGGCAGATTGATAGGAGGGTAGCGAGCCTCTCTGAGAAAAAAAACTCAGATGCTAGAATTTAACACCATGGAGAAGACCAGATAAAAGGAGAGGGATTATCACAACCCAGGAAGAAACTGAGGAAAAAGAAAAAAAAAAAGAAAGAAAGAAAGGAAGGAAGGAAGGAAGGAAGGAAAAACATGGACAAAAGGCTGGATGGGTCCTGCATCGTGCTGGGCCTGCCTTGAAGTTAGGCAACCCATGGTCGTGCTGAAGTTGCAGTAGTGCCAAAATCAGGGTTGGTGAGCTCAAGGCCCTTGGCGGGGGGGGAGGGGGGGATGCAGCACAACAGAGAGCTGAACCAGTGTGGAGAGCTGCACTAAGCCATCGTGAGTGCCACGAATTTGGTCCCACAGAGGGGATGACCAGCTGGACGACATATTGGAATTGGCAGGACAGGCCTGAACTCGGGACTGCAGTGGCATCAGTTGGCTGCTCCTGGCCCAAAGAGGACTGGTGGGATCTGCTTGGGCTGGGTCATGCCCCTGGTCGGGACCCAATAGCCAGGGACAAAACTGTCCCGAACGTGTAACATCCACATCGCACAGGCTAACATGCTGAAGACACTCACCAGTTGACTGGCTCAGAGGAGAAGGGCCAGCCCATATCGTCCCTGCATGCACCTCAGATAACAGTAAACTGGAGAGGGCAGCAAGCCCCCAGCCAGCATGCTTCAGAAAAACCATAAGCAATACGGAAAGGGCCTGAGACCTCCACCACAAACCTGTCTGAAAGAAATGAGAAACATGACAAGAGAAAGAAACAAGGAAAAGCCTCTGTCTGCTGACCCAGGAAAAATAAGTCCAGGAGAGGTAAATACAGAAGAGATCGAGGGCAGCAATCATGCAATATCAGACACAGCATCAGCAGACATAAAGAAATACCTTCATAAAAAAATACCTTTGTGACCTCATAGATGAACTTCCAACTGAAATTATAATTCAAATGAAACAAGATATAAGAAGATTAATAAAAGAAATGCTAAACACCTCTCAAGAAGACACAGATGGAAGAATGGAGGAACCCAGAAAAGGGAGAGAAACCTTTGATGAAGAATATAAACAAAATCTAGAATATATGAAACAGATCCAAAGAGATTACCAGGAAATTAAAAACTCCATTGAAAGCTGGCAAAATTTCTCGACTGAACTAAAGCTAGACTTTCAAAACTTGAAGATAGATTTGCAATGTGTGATCATGAAAGGAAAGACTCTTAATAAAAACAAGGAACCATCAATCCAACCCTACAAAAAATACTGAAGGACATTCTAGAGAGAGAGAAAAAAATCACCAAGATTCCAGCAACAGTGGAAGAGAGGCCTCGATGAACGGTGCAGACAGTGGAATGAAGGACAAAAGTAGACAACCAGTGGCAGAAAAATAGCATAGCAGGGATGAGGCAGAGAAGGTTGGCTATAATCTCTAAAACAGATGGCCTTGATACACTAACAAAAAGAAACACAGGCAGGGTAGATCAGGAGATAGGGTCCATTGAGATACTATGAATAGGAAATATAATCAGCCTGAAAGAGAGTTAATGAACCAAAAGTCAAAGAAGAGAAAACAATGCTCTATGTGACAGGGAACCAGAGAGAAATAGGGACAGCTTGTCCAGCAGCTGCAGATAGGTTGGAAAGTTCTGTGCAGTGGAGAATTACTCAGCTAAGGAAGGAAAACCTTGAGGCTTTAGTAGGGAAAGAAATACAGCTCAAGATCAAGCTCAGGGTTAAAAAGCTTCAGCACCACTCAGATAGATAATGGGTTGCCCCGCTAATCTAATAACTAAAGGAGTTAGTGGGACCCAAAATGACGAAGCACCCTGAGAAAGTAGAAGGGGAGGAAGTGTCTACAAAAGGAAGGCAGAGGACATTGTTAATAGTGTGTCAGGATTTAAAAGCCACATTATTGTTATTGCTCTGTTTAGTTTGATTTTATTCTGTTCCAATCTGTCTACTTGTACTAGATTTGAGGGCACAGACAGCTGTCCCCAAAATAGAAGGGTATACATAGTGACTATTCTTAATCGCCTATTAACGTAAACTGAAGCCCTGTGTTACACTGTCTTACTATGACTGATCTTATTTGAATCTGGTTTGTTAGATTGCTGTTTTGTTGACTGATTTTATTTGAATTTGGTATGCTTGATAGTATCAAGTCTAAAAGTAGAGGCAACTACTCTGAAAATAGCAAGATGTAATAGGATACTCATTCCAGTTTGATTATTAACTGCTTTTGAAGTCCTACAATGTCTCCAGTGTTTTGTTTTTATTAACATTGCTATGTAGTGCAATATTCAATTATATTATGCCTGATGACATAGACAATTCTATTGAAAATAACAAGAGATCATAATAACTACTGTAGATCACCTAGTATTGTGGTTTTATGTCTTTTTTGTTTAATGTTTTTCTAGGTATTTGTTTTGTTGTCTTGTTTGGATCTGGTTTTTCCCTATAATACAGAAAGGATAGGTATACATGTAGAGATTCACACGTGTAGAGACTTCTAAACAGTTTACGAGAATAGATTATATAATGCACGATGTAATGAACAGATACTCTGAAGAAAAAGAGACACTAAGATACTCAGTGCTAATTCCGTAGTGTCATGTTATAAAATCTAGCAATACTATTATTCTCTGTCCAGAGTGATATTAGTCTGTTTTCTTTTGATTAATTTCAACATATGTAAAGATATGCACAGCTATTTTGGAGGTTTCTGAACTGGAGGTGCTGGCAGGTGCTCCCTCTGGAGGTGCTAGGAGGGAACTGCCGCAGGCCTTTCCAGTTTCTGGCTTGCCTTGGCTTCCCTCAGCACAAGGCCCCCTTTCTGTGTGCCTGTCTGTCAAATCCACCCCCTCCCCTTGCTTCTGCAGTAATGAGGATTGAACCGGGGTCTTCACCTGAGCTGCATTCCTAGCCCCGTCCCACTCTTTAAATTTTGTTGCAGGTCTCACTAAGCTGTTTATTCACCCAGGCAGGGTTTGGACCTATAATCTTCCTCTCCAACCTCCCAGAATGCTGGGATTACAGCCTTAAACCACAATGCCTGGCTAAATTTCTCCTTTATTAGCATTCCAGGGATATTGGATATTAGGGTTTACTCTACTGTAGTATGATCTCAGCTCATTATTTCTGTGAGACCCTACTTCCAATAAGGTCCCATTCTGAGGTACTGTGGGTTAGGGCTTCAGTGTGTGAAGTTTTGAGAGCACACACTTAAAGCCATAATACTTACTCAAATGCAGGAAGGGCCCCGAGAGAGAGAGAGAGAGAGAGAGAGAGAGAGAGAGAGAGAGAGAGAGAGAGAGAGAGAGAGAGAGACACACAGAGAGAGAGAGACAGAGAGAGAGAGAGAGAGAGAGAGAGAGACTATAGATTCAGAAAATAGAATTTCCAGTCCATGAAACTGTATTTTTATTAGTGATGTTTGACCACATCATGATTATATGTAACATCTTATTTTTTAAAATTTCCTCTAACCCTCCCTCTTCCTGCACCTTGATCCCCTTCCCAGTAGTTTATCATTGTTAATAGTCATAGATTTAGGTGGGCTAAAGATTGTTTTCTATGAGTATTAACTTAAATTGAAGAAATTAAAAGCTGTAAAGAATTTAAAAGGTTGACCTGATAATTTGTTTATTCCAGGGGGAAAAAAATACAGGTTCACAGAAGCTATGTGACTCACCTAAGTTCACACAGCAAAGATAAAAATAGGCCTCGCAGACACCTCGTTCAGTGCTCTTTGCTCCAGAGCACACTGTCTCTTACATGTTTTCTAACAACTGGATTTCTTTCAGATCCAAGCACCCGCTTTACATTTACAGAAGTCCAGCTCAGTTTCTGATTCTCTAGAGGACTGTCCCCAGAGGACCTGACAACCCGCCGTAAGCCTTGGGCAGCAGCCAGCAGTGTTGGCAGGCAGTTCTCTGACCTGAGGTTGCCTGCAGGATTTGACAGACAGCCCTGCCCCTGGCCGTGAGGCAAAGGTGAATTTTGTGCAGAATCAGCTCCTGAAAGGGGCAGGTAAGTTCTCTTGAAAAAGAATGAGAGAGGACCTAGGAAGGAGAAGAGACTGGTTTTCTTTACTGGAGATGAAAGTAAATAAAAACCATTTCAAAAATAACATTAGGAAAGAAGCAAAATAAAACTTTATCCTCTGCTATCATTTTAGAATTATGCTTTTAGCATCAAACTTAATTTTTAAAAATAGCTTGATGGTTTTTCTTCACTAGTTTTTAAAATTTTGACTAGTATGTGATGCAGTACATTATGATTACATTCCTTGGGGTTGGTACATATGTATGACATATCTTAATTTTTCACCCCATATCTTGATCCCCTTCCATTTGAGAAAGTTCTGTCTTTCTACTTCATATTATTTGAGCTTAGATGTTTGTCACTTGGAAAATGAGGGGCTTAGGTGCTCTTTGATGAAAAGTTACTTTTCTGAGATTCTTGGTAAAGTTTGAGTTCCCAGAAGGTAGATAGACGTAACTTTGATTTTTAAGGGATTAAGGTAGAATAGTCTATTTTTTCCTTTTAACATTGTTGGTGGTATAATGATTTGTGATAATGAGATGGCTTCTAAAGACATTCATCTCTGACAGGGCATTAATGTATGTAAAGTCTAGAGTTTCTTTCCTTTCTGTATTTAACTGTTTTCCTTCTTTCCCCATTCCATCGTATTTTTATCCAGTGGTAAAGTTTACATTTGAGAATTATCCCATGTACATGCTTCTCTGGGAACATACATGAATAAAAAATGAGCAAATCAGGCTGGGGATTTAGCTCAGTGGCACAGGCCACTGCCTGGCAAGTGCAAGGTCATGAATTCAATCCCTGGTACCAAAAAAAAAAAAAAAAAAAAAGTGAGCTGTCATCGGGAGCCCTGTGTGAGGCCGTTGGGGACTGGGTGTCTATGCCCAGCAACCTGCTCACATATGGGAACATTTCGTTTTCCTCAAGCTAATTGAGGCCCTTGTGAGATAAATTGCTCTGATGAAAGCCTCTGGGAAGTTTTTATAGTTGCTGCTCCTTTGAGTTGGGGAATGTCTCATAGAAAGCAGCCCTAGTTTCTCTCTGGTAGGGATGCCTCGTCTCAGTGCGTGGGTTTCTACTTGTTACTCTTCTTCCTTCCCGCCTGTGATAGGGGTTTATTAGAACCTCTGGGAGAGACAGGGTGGTGCTGATCAAAGCGAATTGCTCAGCTGAGACTGCTGTTGTATGTGAGTTGAAGAAAGCTGTGTTTTTGGCTGAAGTTGGCTTTTTGATTGGACGGTCCCACCCTCCCATCCCCATGACCTTGGAGAATTAGAAGTGTTTGCCATGCCTATCACTGTGATTCACCTCTGGTTAGTGTTTGTTACACGAAAGTCATGGCACGGAGCCCAGTGAACTGGCTGAACATCAGAAGAACTGGAGGACGTTCTGTGGCTCCCCTTTGAGTCAGTACTCTTCCTGGGTGATTCGAGTTTTTAATAATCTGTCTCTTACTATATTAGCTAGTCTTCTGGGGCCATTGTAACAAAGGACTGTACCACAGACAAGATGGCTTCAATAACAGGAATTTATTGCCACACAGTCCCGGAGGCTGGAAATCTAGGATCAATATTTGGGTGAAGTTGGTGTCTTCTGAGGCCAATCTCTGTCCCGTATCAGCCTTCTCCCTGTGTCCTTGCATGGCCTTTCCATTGGGTGTGTCCATCCCTGGCATTTCTCTTTTTATGTCAAAATTTCTTCCTCTTATAAGGACACCAGTTAGATTGTGTGAGGACTCCCCCATGTGACATACTTAACCTTAATTACTTTTTAAAAGCCTTTTATCTCCAAATAAAATCACATTCTGAGGCACTGGAGATGGGAGTCTTCAACTTCAGGCCAAGAGGACACATTCTGCCAATAGAACATATGTTTATTTACCTGGAAGGGATCCTACACCAAGGAGTTAGAGGCTAATTGGTCCTGGAGCGGACTGCAAACACAGGTTCTTCCCACTTACATTATAGATAATGAGCATGACTACATTTAAGAAGAGAGCCTGAAACTCCTTAATGTTCATATTTTAAAGAGCTGGGTTAAAAAAAGATCCTAATCACCTTCACCACAATTTTCAGCCTGTTTTCATGCCAGCCCAGGCTGAAGTTATTGTCCCTGAAGTTACATCCCACAGAGATGGAAGCAAGACCCCAGAGTTCTCCACCCAAAGGCAAGAGGTTAAGTGGTGACCACCTGCTTCCTCACAAGGAGGCCCTCCTGGCTGCTCCAACCCTCAGGTTCTCTCCCTGTGATCTTGCTTAACAACAGGCCAACCATCCAAGCTCATTTTAAGTTTTTCTCAAGAAAAAAAAAAAACAAGTTAAATTTACCTTATGTTTTAGTTAGGGTTTTCAAGGGAAACAATTTAATATAGGACACATAATTTATAGGGTTATTTTATAAAATTCACCCAAAGAGTCAAGTATAAAGGAGTACAGGAGATCTGTGCACACACTAAGGACCCAAGGAATCCATAGCAACGTCCTGCCTGAGTATAGCTAAAGGCTTACAGCCCATGGCAATGCGCCCTGCAAGTCCAACTGGGGGGCTTAGAGCCCATGACAATGTCTCATGCAAGTTTGTATGAAGGATCTGTACTGAGAAGACCCAAAGGCCCGTGTGGAAGCTAGAAAGTCTGTGCCAGCAGGCCAGGGCTCTGCAGTGGAGTCAGGAAGTGAGGCTCAAGGGTTGCCGAATGAACCTCAGTCACTCTCTGCAACAGCAAGGTCCTGAGTTCCTCTGATGATGAGAACAGCTGAGTTCATATCAGGAAAACCAGTGTGACACACTTTTCCAGGAGAATCCACAGCATCATCTTGCTCTCCAGTTCTCTTTTTATGGTGCTGGCAACAATCCCCAGGTGGGCCTTGCACTCCCAGCACCATGCTGATTCAGTTCAGCGGGGTGTTACAAGTTGACCACTAGCTGTCAATCCACCACAATTTAGCTACTCATCTCCTATGTTTATCTTTTCTTTCTCCAGTCCTCATCCTGGCTCCTCCCAGCCCTTCCCTTTCTTGGGCTGCTCCTCCTGTTCTACAAACATTTGCTGGTGTTGTTGTGCTCTAGGCTGGCAGCATCTACTGTAATCTTCTGTGGTCATGTCCCTCTACTGTGCTCCCGCTGTCCCCTGCTCATAACTCCTTTCTGGAGCTTCTCAGTCTCCACTGTAATTGCGGGTTTATGTGTTGCTTTCCATTCCCTGACCATAAGCAACCACTCTAAAATGTAAGTTCTATCATTCAGGTATAGTGAACTTGACAGATCAGGAGATAGGTGCCCTGCAGAAGATGGTTTGTTCCAGTTCCCAGAGGAGTAATGCTATGCTACATGCAGGGTTCAGGTGAGTCAGAAAACAGAAGGGGGCAGTGGGACAACGTGAGGAAGAGATTTGATTGTGGCTTCTATGAGAATGAACAGGTAAGTTTGAACAGTTGCAGTAGGCTCTGGGTATAGGATTGTCCCTGATTTCCTAGTACTGACTGGGAATGGTCAGGGGCAGGGAAGAGAAGCCCGGAGTGTCAGAGCCAGCTGTGGGGTGTTTGCTCTGATTTACTGGGAAGGTGCACTTGTAGGAGTGTTGCTTAGTGGCTTTAGGAATTAGCTAGCCTTGGGATGGTGTCCCTCCAGGGACAGCAAGACCCCAGAGTGAAAACACCAGAAATATATAAAACAATGAATACATCAGCGAAAGAACAGGAATTGCATCCCTTTTGCTTTGCATGCTGTATTTAAGATCGTGTCTGGAACATTTAACATAGGTACTTATGGAATGAAGGGAATCCCTTGTGTTCTGATTACTCTTCAACCCATAAACTTTGAATTTAGTCTGAGTGACAGTTCAGGCTGACAACTGAAGAAGTTCCTGATCTTTGCCATCTATACTTAGGCAGGAAGTGCTCTGGATCGATACTTCATCTACCACTTCACATAAATATAAATCACTGTTCTGTGTCTGGCATTAGACAGACGCAAAGCATATTTTACTCTCAATAGTTCAACATGGGACATTGTAGAACTGGAGAATTTTTCTTTTTCGATTTGATGTTATAGGTTTGGTAAAATAGAGACGACATTTCAGTGCTAAGCGCTTTCAAGTTTGGATCACGTATTTCTAATGCTCTGAGTAAACACTGTAGAGTCCTGGTGTGGTAAATCAGCTGTGAATGAAGGCTGACTCACTGTTTCCTTGTGTTTGGCCTTAATGCAAATGGAAATCCATTTCTGGTGTTTCACTCTCCAGGCTAGTCAAAACTCCGACATTTACTTCTGTCTATTTTAGCAAAAAGAAAAATTGAAAATAATTTCATGACAGTCCTGTTATTATTGCTCATATTCTCAAATTACTATGCCAGGTATTAAATATATAATTTTCGTTATGATATTGGAGAGTATAATTGTTGATACATTGTGTCAGCTTAAGAAGTTTAGAAGCTTAACTAACTCAGCAATTTTTACATTCTGAGGTGCAGAGGACATGCCCTTACTGCTCTAGAATGGATGATGTTTATTGTGTCAACTTGTGAAGTTTACAAGTTTCACTAAATGACTCAGCAGGGGCAGGGTCCTCACTTTGTAAACATCCTGAGCCTGTGCAAGAGGAGAGCACGGAGATGGTGCAGGTGCTATATCCACCAGAGAGCAGGTAGCCTGCTTACAGTATAAGGGAGGGAAACAGGCTTGCTGTCCCTGCTTTGCTCTTCCACAGCCATGGGCGGGTGCCCCTGTGCCACGCCACCCTGCCTTAGAGCCAGCTAATTACAGATTAACCTCCACAAACTGTAAGCTAAATAAACCTTTCCTGCCTTCATTTTGGGTGTCAGGTATTTTGTTTCAGCAACTAGAGAAAAGTGACTAAGACAGGGAGGGATAAATCTTGTGCAAAGAACAACTTTGGATGTGAGATTGCTGGGATTATGAAATTCTCTGTGGTTGGACTATGAGGAGAAGCAAGAAAGGAAGAGCCTGTCATTCTGTGGAGGGAGCAG